GTGTAGCCAGCAGGGGTGGTCTGCTGGACGCGTTGACTTTGACTGACGGGATACACTCTTGTTGAGTCCGTCTGCGGACTGTCATCAGGTAGCAGAATAAATACGGATATTTACAGTAACAACATCTTATAGAGAACTAAAAGCAACATACAGACAGGATTTAATATGGTAGACGCAGGGAGGACATTCAGTGGTAAACAAAAGTTACTTTTTTAAAAAGTTGGCTTTTCAGACATAATATCTACCATCTGTGCTGGAAACACAGTATCTATATTACATCAAAAAGGTTTGAACAACGGGGAAAAGTTCATCTGAGGTCAGGATACATGCATAATATGGTTGCCTGGATTTTATTGGAGTTGGCAGGGGTTTGCTTAAGAGAATTACAGCTCCCTGTTTTGTGCTTCTGGCGTCGATATTGCCATTGTCTCATAAATAGACCCTGGGAATGTTTTTCATTAAAGAATAAAAATTTAAAAAAAAGATGAACGTCCTTGACACTGTGTTCCACTTCACATGACTCTTTGATTTTAAATTAAACTGAGTGTAAAATTTTAATTTGATGTGCAAGTTAAATGAAGCTTGTCTGTGTGTGAGCTCTGTTTTCTAGCTCGATGAAACATACTCCGCTGCTTGTTATAAATGATAAAAGTAGCAGGTAAACAAAGCTCCCCATTCAGAGGCGATAACAGTCAGGTGCTGGTAGGTCGCAGGACTATGCAGTTCAAAAGGGTGAAACGTGTTGTTCGCTCCTAATCATCGTAAAGTCGTTCTAGTGTGCTGTGGTTAATTTGGATAAAAGTATCAGTTCAGTCCTCTGCCTCAGTGCTCTCACTCTGCCTCCCTCCTCTCTCTATCTGTCTTTCTTCGTCATACTTTCTATCAAAATTTGTCATAGGTTTTGCTGTTGTCATATCTTTTTTTCTATTAACTGACTACTGTAATTGTTTACCTATTTTAACCTGTAATGACACTTTTGTTCCAGTTGGGGTCAGCAGAAACAAGCTGAGAACACAACATTGACATATTATCTTTTAAGTTGATATGGCGAACTTTATTTAATAAACAGTTGCTTATTTACACATTCAGTAGTTACAGGGCAACATTATAATTTATCGGAAGTTGTGTTTGTGACCACCTGATGAATGTAAGTCAAATAGTATAGTAGTAGTAGAGTAATAGGTCTTGTAGCTCTGTTTTTGGTCTATTTCCACCCCTGAGGGAAATGTCTGCCTCTTTAGCTACTAAATCCTCCACTATGTTCACCAGCTAGTGTGTCTAACTGTGTCTGTCTGCATTTTGGTGCTGAGCTAGTGTATAGTTGATTTTTAAAGCTTTTTCACTGAAAACAGCAGCTTGCTGTGGCTGAAAACAACATTATGAGAGTAGTGAAAGTGAAACAACAGCAAAGTGGGGCCAGACAGCTAAACAATGAGCTGAAACTTGCTGTAAAGCTGAGGGGAGCTGTAAGACAAATTTTTGCTTGGAATATGACTTAAACAATTAATCTATAATAAAATAGTTTCAGATTAACCTTCTGATGATTGCCTTTTCAATTAATCAGCCAGTTGTTGTAGTAAATACCCACTGTTTACTTTACAATTGGCTGCCTTTACTAATATATTAATGTCCATTTCTGTATATTTGAATGTAGCAGCCTCAGTTGTGATGCCTTTCTGGGGGAAACTAAGGCCTGTAAATGAGTAGGATGGTTTTCATTGTAATTTAATCCATTCACTCATATGAATGTGTGTTTAAAATAGACAGAGAAACAAAGTTTAAAAACAACAAGAACGATAAAGAGAAAATCAGGCAAGGTTTTCCAATTTAAAGTAACCTGTTTCACATGGTATGCTACACAATCTCTCCTCAAGTCTGGCTTTATTTAGGTTTGAATCAATGTTAGTTTGGATTTGAGATTGGAGCGTGTATAGATTTCACATTGGAAGGCCCGGACACTGCCTGGTAGACATACAAGTAGTTTTAATATGATTGCTGTTGAGCACTTTTACAATGTGGGTGGGGTGCATGTGTGTGTTCCTGTGTGTGTGTGTGTGTGTGTGTGTGTGTGAGAGAGAGAGAGAGAGCATCTAACAGAAGTGCCTTAGAGCAGTAATGTGTGAGTGTGTAGGGTAAAAGGCCAAGCTTGCTGAGTGATTGCCACATTACCCGTAAGTATGAATCAATCTTCTGTTCAGACATTTGGCTATTTACAGACTCACATGAATTTGATCATGTGTTTTCTTTTAATGGTTTTCTAGGATTTACTAAAACCTCTATGGCAGTACTGTTTTAGTGGATAGCACTGCAGATGGTGAAAAAAGGTGGGTGGTATGTCAGCTTTTAGGTCTGAGATCAGAAAAGAGTTCATGTTAAATTTGGTATTGAGCAGATATTATCGTAATATTACTAATGCATTGACTTAAAATGTGCATGTAATGTACATAATGTTAGCATGCAGTTTTTCCCCCATATATAGATTTACTTCAGCTGAACAAATAGATTAACCCCCACCTATTTACCCAAGGTTGAGACTTAAATAGAAGAAGACATAGATGGATAACCTGTATGCATAAATAATGGCCATGTCAGTCATGTCTGTCTGTAATGTACAGATTGGAAATAAGACCTATTGAAGGCTGGTTGTATATAGTCAATATTAAACTGAAAACCATTTACTTTTAGGGACTACATGTTTTTACCTGATAACAGTGATGTTGAGATTTATGCAGCTTTATGTAAAGTCATAAAGCTGCTTATTGTAGCATTAAGTGTACACATGAGGGCTTATGTGCGTGTGTGCAGTTGGGTTTACTGTATGTACCCGAGCATATGCTTGTTTGTCTATGGTTTTGTGTGAATACCAAAAGTGAATTGGCTGACACACTGCAATCTGTCAGTCATCAAAATACATTCCTGCACATCTGAGCTTTCCAAACACTTTTCTCTCATATTTGCAAGGCTTCACTTAGATAAGAAAAGGTGTGTTACAACAAAACACATTGAGAAAAAAAACAATGTCAAGGACACCAGAAAATGTTTCTTTCTGTGTTTTCCACTGTAGGCTACTTTTTTTTTCTTGAGTCACCCTACCTGTCCGTGTTTTCATTGACTATTGTGAAGCAAAGAGAGAAATGACAGTTTGTAGGAACTCAGTGAAAGAGGGGATTTAGACAGTAATCCGCCTCACTGATCCCTTTTAGAAACAACCAACTGTCTGGCACACCGCCTGGCTCTCGCCATGACACGCCTGCTTTTGATACCTGAAGGCTGGACTGCAAACTGACACCCACTGTGGCATTTTCTGCTTCCCACATACCTAAGATCAAACATGGAGTATAGATTGAAGCCATTTCTTTCAGTTGGAAAAAATGGTTGTTGGCTTGCAGGTGAGCTATGGTATGTACCTAAGGGGTTAAGTCACCCTGTAGGCATCAGATTTTTAATATTAATGTTGAAAATTGTAACACGGTTTCTCTCTCTTTAATCTGTTAGTGCTACTGTTGGCAAGAAGGCTTGTCGCGGTGTGGTTTATTTTGCCCCTTCACTGTTCAGGTCAGGTCAAACAGAAACAGATTATTTTGTTTGAGAACATATGGCGTAAACAAAGACTGACTTATAAACTTCTCCATCAGACTGGAGCCTAGCTGGTGTCATCTGTCGATACATACAAACATTATCCACATTTCTAATCATCTTCACGCTGATATTCAGGGTGCCATAAGTTAATAATCAGTGTTAGTGCAGCCTGTTTTAAACAAATGTCCTCTGTCATAAGAACAGAGCAGTTGGCAAATACATGAGTTTGCTTATTCTCACGCCTGGGCCTGGGTTTTGTTTTCATATCCTTGTAGATGTAATGATGATTCTCATTCCTTATCTTTAATCTGTCAGTAATGCTAATAAAGTGAAGTTGATATTTTTGAAGGTGTATCTGATTTCATTTTAGCCTTTGTCATGACTATCAAAGCAGTTTTAGTCCTCTGGGCTTTATTTTAGTGGAGCTAAAATAAGTGTTATTCTCACTTTTCTGACCCACAGCAGTTAGCAAATGGTATGTAATCTTCTTTGTCAGGAACTGAATGGCACCTTTGTTTGAGTATTTTTTAGTCATTTTAATTTCTTTTTCCATTGGTTGTGGTTTGAGAGATGTATTCAAGTTTGTAGAGCTTTGATTTATGGACAATCTGGCCTTTTTAACACCTAATATGAATTGACCTCTTTGTCTAATGGTGGTTCTGACTATGGGGGATAACACATGCATAAAAGGCCACATACAGACACACAGAACTGAGAGACACACACACTTGCACATATATAAGACTGGAGTGGTTTATTGGGTGGCAATAAAAAGAAACGTTGTGTGAAATGAATCCAGTGTGACTTACAGTGTTTTGGAGGCTGTGTTTTCTTTAGAGATGAAGAAATGGACCCGCCCAGAGTGTCATGTTTATATTAAGAAATTTTATTTGAGTTTAATTTTCCAACTCTACAGGTGGGAATCTGTACAACATAGCCCTCCAATCACAAGATCTAATAATCTTTGGCATACAAGCTGTGTGTCTGTATAACAGAAAACACAATGTTTTAATGTCACTGTATATGCCTCTTTTGTATGACTTAATTTATGTTTCCTTTAACTTGATACATCAAATCAAATAAAGGCAAACATATGAGGTCTTTGAAAGCTGCTTGGCATAAAGAAAATAATATTGGATAAGAAGGTTATAGGATTTTATATGAATTTGATGAAAAATGTTCATTTGATTCTATTGGAGGCCACAATAGCAGTCCTTATTGTAAGTTGAAAAACAACAGGTGGACATAAGAACTTAAGCTCTGGTATGCAACCTGCCCTCACAGAAAGACTGCTCTGTGTTTGTATTACATTCTTTTTTTAACCTTCTTAAATCAATTGCAGTGTCTTTTACATCGATGATACTCTGATTATCTGTTTTTGCCTCTGTTATATCTTATTGTATGTTCTTCTGTTTGCGCAGGAAGGGATTGTTGAACTGTATTGGCCAGCCCCATCTGTGAAAGTGACCCTCAGCTTACATCAACCCTCATTTACAGGTAAAAGCCAAATGGAAACATTTCATGCATGTGCTCTATGTTAAGTCGGTTTTTATGCAATCATTTCATGGTGTAGGAGATTGCAAAATTGACAAGCATCTCTGTGCAAGTGGTGATGATTATCTGATTATCAAATGAGTAAAAATACAGAAGGATATGGATGTGATGTGATAAAGTACAGTTAGATGATCAGTGTGGTCCATTATAGTATTCAGTAAACTGAGGAGGGTCAGGTACTCATCAAGAGAAAATTTAACTAGAACCACCTTACTACTTTCTCAGCAAATACTTGATTTTGCAGCCAACTAACCAAGCTAACCAAAGTAGCCCACCGTGTGCAGCTAGTATATCCCAGGAAGAGGAGGGCAGCAGTGAAAGGAGTGAGTCTCACATTGCGTGTTTCTCTGAAATCCAAACTTGCCAAGAGCAACATAAAGACAGTGACACCATATCCTTCATAAATTACTGTATATTTGACTTGTCCTAAAATATCTACCTTGAGCTGTAAAAGCTCACTTGTAGGCTACACGATTAGTGGTATTCTATTACTTATTCCTTTTCTTTCAAGCACATTGTCTATAAACAGAATATAGTGTCTGTGGCTCTCTTAACAAAGACATAGTATTATGTATGATATATTCATGCACTTTTCATTTGTTTGCATCTTTTGAGAATTTGGAGAGAACCACAGAGTTGTGAGTGCTGCTTGTTTGCAAATATAAATGTTTCCTTAGGGATAGCAATCTGTAACCTTAGCCTGCACTAACACAAGTGCTTTAGCCTCAGTTGCCAAGAGGAAATTTATTAGTATCTGGGAGCATTTTATAGCCAGCTGCATGGACAACTAAGGAGGTTTGTAACATGTAAAGGCACCTTGTGCTCAAGCAGGGATGCTAGGCATTTGATACATACTGTAATGACATGTTTTACAAGAAATCTAATGTCAGTCACTGAGACCAGTCCTGGCTTTCAAAGCACAGATACCCACAAAAATAACATTGTTTAACATTCAATAACATTCATGGATTTAATGCTACACTATACCCAACCACCTTGCTGTAAAAATATCCAATGCCCCTTGTGATTTGCTAATAAAAAATGTGCTCTTCACCTATAAGCTTTTTTGCGAACCAATACCGATACCCTCCCAGATTAATTATTAATGCACAACAAAGTAAAAGAGCCCCTTGCATGTATGGCAGCAAAAAGCTGTGCGTAAAACAACTGACATCGACAGTGATTCCCAAACTTATATTTTGGGTCATGGACACATTTTTATTTGTCAGAGTAAAATGCTTAACAATGTTATGAAATGTAAATGTATATTCAAGAAGAGAGAATGTTCTTATATTTTAATTTGAAAAATAAAATTATAGGGCTACACATGTGCTCATAGAACTGGAGTTACATCCAGTAACTACTATATTTTGCTATGCTGGTCTGTTCAGTTCAGATGCTGTGTCTGGGGCCCCCTCTCTCCCTTCTCACAAACCTGGACCTGAAATCATGTTTAAAGAGACAGTGTTTTCACAGTGGAAAAGTAACTCAGTCATGTGTTTGAGTTGCATTTGAATTGCTTGTTTCATGTGTCTCTTGGGGACTAGTATGTTGCTAGGTTCTTTATCAGTAGTTTAGAAATGTAAATGTTATAGCAATATTTTTATAAATTTTGTTCCCGAGGAGACACCAAATGTCTTCTTTGAGTTTGGGAACTCCCGCCTTAGAGGACACTGGGCCATTCAGTCAGGGGAGGCAGGTGCTGTTAACTGCAAATTTGCATATGGATTCTTTTTAAATGAGGACCACACTTCAGCAGTTTGGAGTATACCGAGCAGATGGTACTTGAGTAGCAGAGTGAGGAGACGGACAGGTGTGTACTTGTTTGTAACTGGAGCTTTAAAAAGGTATGATGATCCAGGTTACCTGCATTCAGTGGGGTCCCATCATCATGTTTGAAAGGGTTGTGGGCCGCCTTAACCTCTGTTTTTGAGGATAACAGCAGATCTCCATATGATAAGAGATAGAAGGATATTAGGCAGGACACCCACACACACACACATAATCATGTCTTCAGATGGTTATCGTATTTACATAATCATTAGTTGTGGGTGAGACCTCTGTGTTGTCCAATGTGGCAATATATTTCAGGTAACCTTGATCTATCCGGAGTGTGATATGACTAGCAATGGCAAAAAATCATGTATTTAATCCATATTTACAAGGGTGGACATCATAGCAAACTTTCGATAGCAGCTCAAAAAAATGACCTGGCTGAAAAATATCAATTATTAAAAGGCTTTATACCTACAGTATGATACAGTAATAATAATAATAATGATAATATTATTATGATTCCCCAATGTAGTATATTATAAAATAGGTAAGGGGACCCACCCTTACTCACCAGTTGTTGAGGAAACACTGCTGTTTGGTGTCTGTATTAAACAGCAGCCTGGTACCTTTGAGTGGGAGACACATGTTTCAGCAGGGCCATTACTGCTGAAACACGAGAAGGTGTTTTCATGTGCACACAAATACTCCCTCACACACATATCACACACAAGGAAATGCATGTATGAAGCCTCATGCACACACACAGGTGTGCTGGCAACAGCATCTTTCAACATGACGGCACTCTACCCAGAGGTACAGACTCTAGAGTGGAGAAGCTGTGCGATTGTATGGGTGTGTGTGTACAAGTGTGTGAGTGTAAATGAAGAGGGAAATAGCTATTTGTGAGGTCATGAACTTGTAAATGGGTGGAAAAAAAGGAAACTTCCTTGTGCTTTTCCATTACATCTCACTCCAAGGACTTCTGTTGTGTATTTGTTATAGATACCAACCAGATTGTTCATAAATATTCTCTTCAATGGATACATGCTCTTGTTCCTATTATGTTCTCCTGAGAGACATTATAAAATAGGTGAATTTCCATTGCCGACTTTAGCTTTATCATGGTTGGGGTTTCCAGGGCAAAAAGCATATTGCCACTTGAGTGGCTGTTAGGATGGTGAAGGACTCACAGCTTAAACACTGAGGCCTTCAATTTATCTATACTAGATGAGTAAGGAGCATTAATAAATATCAGTATAAAAATGATGACACATGGCAGTTAATATTAGTGCATGATAGTAGTAATAGAATTGATATACATATAACAGTGGAACACCTGTAAAACAACACATTGGACAAGACTAAACCATCCGAAGGTAGTTATCCACACTATTTTATGCATCCAGCAGGTACTGGGGATGCATGTTGTTTGTCCCCAAGGGGGCACCATTCTTCTTTTACTTCTTTCACCTGTTACAATAAGATGGAGATCAACTAACAATTCACATTAAAAGTTTGGAAGACTTTTTTTCCTCTCCTAAAAATGTATGTTCAAGTTCTGCATGTCAAGTTTAGTTCTTGGGTTGTTTTTTCGCTCTACAGTTTAAAGTATGTCAAAAGCAGTCAAAGTGTATTATAGTCATTTACTGAGTTTCAAGCATGCAGTAAATATATTATAAGGTTCCGCTCAGTTGCTCAAGCCAAGATTTTATCAGACAGCTCTCAAGTGCTGCTCACTCGTCGCTGTGCGTGAGCTGCTGCGATGGCACTTTTTCTGTAAGCACAGTTGCTCCCGCTGCCACCCATTTCTTTCTCTCTCCGTCCCTTTTTCACATTGTCTCTCTTTCTCACTCGCTCTTTCATACACACAAACAGCTGCCCATATGCTTCAGCAGCTTACTAGCCATCAGCAGCAGCAGAAAGTACTTAGTGGTCTAAAAGAGGGAGCAGTGGGTTTTGTCATAATCCCTGTTTGGGCTTGAACAGACTCCTAAATAAACGGCTGCAATGGGACACCACTGTTTACCAGCAGTGAGAGGATTGTATTCAAAGTGTAGCAGTGTTGTCTCTGTGGTCATTCAGCTGTGATGAGACAAAACAGAAAGAAAACTGGCATGTGTACCGCGTTGACGACAGTAATGGGGAAACACAGAAACATTTTCGCAAATTAATTAATTAATTTTGGTCAAGCAATCTTACCAACTGTAAATGTTTTAGTGCAACAATTTGTGACCTGACATGAAACTAATTACTTCCAAACCTCCAACTGCCACAAGATGTTGTTACAGAACAGAGCTATAGACCTGTGTGCCAAATAAATTAATGTCTTTCATTTAATAATGAGGAGAGAAACAGGACAACATTGTGGATGTTGGAGGGTGTTTGCGGTGGTTATAAGTTGACGTTCTAATATAATGAAATAGCTATTTATTAGTTTCATTCATTCACTCTGCTTTATCTGGACTCACATCTACTGTCAGATGATTTATTTGTGAAGGCCTTTCTGAAATTGTATATCTTAAAAGAGATTTAACATTGCACTCCAAAAACGTTGCTGGACAGTAAAAATGACCCACGATGCAACATGACCACAGACAGTTCAATCCAAAAAACTTATTTGACACAGTGTGTGAGGAGTTGATATCCTCCATCCTATTTAAAGCAGCTGAAAATATAGGTAAATATAAAAAATATTTATACTTTATGTAAACTGGTGCTGAGAAATATTGGCTACTGTTAAAGAACCCAAATGTTTCTCCCAAATCTTCTCTACATTAAGAGTATTGAGGAAAAAGAATAGTTGCGAAAATGCATTATTGACATTCCAAGCCCAAAAGTTCGGGGGCAGACATCCCTCCTCATCTTCTCAGCATACATATACACTTCACACATGCACACACCAAAATTTAGAGTGAAACACACACACACACACACACACACACACACACACACACACACCGACCTTGAGGGTGTTAGCGGTGTTGACGTTTGTTTGGACGTTGCTTCAATTCCTCAGACTGCTGCAAGGTCACATGGCTTGACATCAAAGAAAAGAATTTCTTCCTGGGTGACTCTGAGAGCTCTGGTGTTTATTCTAAAAGTCTGACTGTCTCGCTGTCTGTGTTTCTGTCTGTCTGTGGCGGTTGCTGCCGTCATGCCTGCCTTGC